TCACAAAATTTCAGCCAATATTTAATGGCTCTGCACTTTGTCTTCGTTCGCATTGGGAAACGGCCTACCTCCGATCTGCACGCATTTGAGCTACAGAATTTGTTAACTCCCAATAGCCACCTAATGAACTTTGTTTTAACAAACTCAATTAGATCATTTTCTAGCTTTCCGTCGTGATCGACCCCCAAGACCTTGCTTCCGTAGGTCAGTATTGGGGAAATAACCGTGTCGAAATTTTTCATTGTGAGCTGTACATCGTCTCTGAAATGGTCGCCCATTTCCTTCCTGAGTTTGTACCAAGCTTTAAGGGCAACCCTCTTTATTTCGTGTTTAGGGTACGTGAAGGTCCCATAAGTACTAAATTGTAGGTCAAGGTATTTGTAATTGCTAACATAGTCAAGTTTACTGCCTCTATAGTATAATACGTGCTTCTTCATGGTTCTCCCGCAGTTATTAAAAATTAACACCTTAGTTTTATTAAGGTTAACCGACAAGTCGTTTTCTTTGCAGTATTCACTGTGGGAATCCAAATAATCCTGCAGTCCGTTTTTTGATTTGGAGAATATGACCAACTCATCCGCGTAGAGCATACAACTTAACGGTAACTCGTTTAGTTCTACGTCATTTAGGTTCTTGGCCTTAAGTTTCTCTGAAAGGTCACTGAGATAAAGGTTAGAAAGGGTTAGCGAGAGCATGCAACCTTGTTTTACACCGGTATGGCATCGAAAGGCAGGTGTTAGCATATTTTCTATTTTCACAGATGATTTATCATTGGAGTAATTGAACGTAAAATCTCAAGGAAGCGCCCCGTTACTCTCGCTACCTTCAATTTTTGAAACAGTTTCCCACTGGGGATACTATCGAATGCTTTACTAAAGTCAACAAAGCACGTGAATAAAAGGTTCTTTGATTTCTTGGGTTTAGATTTAACATATTGTCTATTAGTGCTTTTAAAATGAAGATACTGTCCTGTGTACCATGTTTTTTTTCGGAAGCCACATTGTTCTGGAGTAATTATGCCCTTTTCAATTGGATAGCCACAAAGCCTGCTATTCATTATTGAGGTAAAAATCTTTCCCATGGCTGATAAGAGAGTAATTCCTCTATAATTCTCTGGAGTTTTACCGTAACCTAAAATAGATCTCAAAATTAATGTAATAGTTATGGTCCTCAATACGACTTGCACTTTGCCAACACCCAATAAAAGTGGACTGCAATATTCTAAATGAGGTAAAACGAAGAAATCGTAGAGACTTAGAAGGGGCGGATCCAGGTTTTTTGTTAGGAGGGGGTGCACTCGTCTCTTGCTCTACTTCAACACCAATAAACCACATAGTTTTTTTTTGCAGAATACCAGTTGTATTAGAAAACCGCAGGTCATCTCCGGGGGGGGGTGCGCACCCCCTGCACCCTCCCCCTAGATCCGCCCCTGTGATGTAGCTATCCGCAAACAAGAAGTGTACGTTTACCCAGGAGTAGACTGCGATCGATTGAGACAAATGCTTTGCAAAGATATTGCGATGGAAAGGTCCCTTGAAAATTTCGATAGAACAAAACGTCCACTAGAATACAGCTACTCACTCCATGTCCTCGAATTTCAAGTTCGACCGGACACATTTGTTTGCTTAAAGTTTCCGTAGCTGTAAGGCTATGATCTACTCAAAGGATGCTCGGATATTAGACGATCATTTTTCAAGTTTACGGCTATTTTAAGAAACACAATGAAACTTTTTTATAGCTGTTCGTCTGCAGGCGTCGGTGGGTCAACTCCTAACAATACATATAGCATGTTCTAGGCTCCGAGATAGTGGTAACCTGAGATCAGACGCAATTTTAGTAGCCTCCCACGCGTGGGAGGCTAAAGTTTTAGCGGTTCTCATACATTCTCTCTAACGGCCAGCGCTAAAATTGGGCTCTCCTTTCGTTTCGCCATGCCCGCCGGAATGTAATTTTCAAAGCGAAACGAAAATAGAGCCTAATCTCAGGTTAAGATAGTGGTGAAAGTGAAAAGTCGTTCAAAACTAAGAAAACGCGCGGACTCTGGGGAGAGACGGGGCGGCGGCATTTTTCCCGCCGCCACCGCCCCCTTTGCCAAGTCGCGCACGTCTTATTTTCGCTTTGCTGCGACGAATGTCGCAAGAAAGTGAAATGAAGAAATAAAGTAAAATAAAATAATAGGCTTGCACAAAGGAAATCTACCGGCCCGGAATTAAAAGGATTTTATGGGAACGAATTCGCCAATAATCCTGCACAAGGTAAATAAAAGGTAACCAAGATTGCAAGCGCACTGGACTAATCACTGGTAATATTCAGAGACCCTCTGGACGTGACTCTTAGGCTTTTTACGCTTATTCCTAGACCACCCTGTCGGGACAAGTCACAATCTAAAAATTGCCGATGATTGGCATTCAGTTGTTGCTGATCACCGGAAGTTAGCTAGCAGCCAATGCGCAAGCGTACCTCACCAAAACAAAATGAGATCAACTCAACATGGCGGCGGATTCAGGAATACGCCGAGATGTTTCGGCTTCTTGTACACCCCAAAGGCCTGTTCCAATGAAATTATTTGCTACTTGGGAAGTGGAGAGGACATCGCCAAATTGTGTGCCGCGGTGAGTTTGTCTCAAAAGCATTTTCGTTTGTTTTGCGTCGTACGAGACTTTCACAAATATCGTGGACAGATCGATACTGAGCTAGTTGTTTGATTGACAGTGATGCCTCGAACATTCCCTTCCAAGTTTTGTCTTTCTTAGTTTAAACGTTCTACAGTTGTTTGCTGTTCAGCTGTAACTCGCTGTAAGATCGTTGTATTGTTTAATGCTGTTATTATTTAACTGTGGCCATCGAAAGCAAATTCAATCTCACTTTATTTGAATTGTCAGGCGAAACTATTCACACTGAACTCCGCTATCCTAGCCTGGAACACGTGTTTTCGTGTTACACACAGGAGAATCTTTGTCTTATAATTTTCCCTTGTGATTAGGAATTTTGCTTAGCGAATTTTCAGTTTTAATTTAATTTCTTAATCAAGGCGGATGGCAACGGAAGTAAAGGCTTTGTCAGCGAAAAATGCAAGCAATTGACAGTTGCATATCGGAACTTTAATCCTTTTCTAGTTGAATTTATTTATTTTTGAATTTATTGGGCACTTTCTTTGCTGTGGAAAAACGATAATTGTGGAATAATTATGCCTTAAAATTCACGAGCGACCCCACAGATCAAGCAAAATTTGATTTTGATCGTGCCTAAAACATCCTCATAATGTACTACAACAAAAAGCAGACTGCATGCAATCGAATTTGGCGAGAAAACGTCTATTTGTCAGCTTCAGTTCATATCGATCATTTTTATGGCTTTTTGACTTGAGTTTGCTTTGATACACAAACACAGTGAATCTCTGTGTTTGGTTTTAAAACTGAGCCAAATATAGAACTTGGTTCAAGTGTAGACTGAAATGCAAATTTTTTTATTGTTGTTGGTCGAATGCAACTGACACCCTTTGAATTGAATTCAGAACGATCACGGCGTTCTACAAGACTTGAATTTCGTGGGAAACGACGTGCTTATTTCTTAATAAACCCTTTTTGAATCAGTGGTTTTTTTATGCGTGCCTTGGGGGAAAGGATCTAAACTTTGATATTAATTGTTTATTCAAATTTTTAAAATAACTCTACCTAATATCTTTCATTGTCATTGTTACAAATTTTTCATTTTCTTGCTGCGTGCATTTTCTTTTCGTTTCTTAAAATTATTGAAGCAAAATGAAAGCATTTTCTTTTTGTAGCTGTTGAACCCAGTGTTTTTGATATTCTAACTATTAAATGAATCTGTGAAATCTGTAATATAGTACTGTATGCAAAATAGCCTCTATTTTTATCCAGAAAAGATAAACCATCTGACACAATTTTATTAAAGGAAATTATTAATTACTTAAATCTTCTTTTTCCAACTAATCTGAGGGGGGTTTCTTTCTATTCTTGCAAAACAAAAGATCAAATTTTTTGTTTACTTGAGTGTTTAATTTTTAAGAAAGTCTCCAGAAATTTTTACTTTGCTTTTTATTTGCACTGCTAGATATGGTGATAAAGTTATCTTTGGAATCTTTTGTGGGATGATAAAGTTTACATCTGTGCATTTTCCAGACCCATTTCTTGAGAATTATATGGTTTTCTTCATCAGCTTGAAGTTACTTTTTCTTAAATTTAATGCTATATTTTTGGATGCTAAAAATAACCAAAAATTAATTTGATACTGTCATTAATGTATATTGCATGCACTTACCAATATAGCCAGCAGGTGTTCAAAAAACACTTTATAGCCTTCTCTTTTATTTGGAATAATACTACATTTGCTTGCTGTTTTATGATAAAGAGTATTTTGTATTTGACTGATAGGATTAAAATTACCGTTTTATACATTGTATGTATTGTGGTTCAATTTTATCCTTAGTATAAATTTTATGTTTCTTTTTTAAACTCAATACAAAAACAAAAGAAAAGAAAAGTTGATTATGAATAATATTGATCTGATCCACAACAAGTAGTTTGAGCCATGCATTTTTTATCAGAGCTGGGTTTATTGTAGAATTTTCCTTTTAATAATTTTTATCCAGGGAAAAAACTACTGTTTCCATCATGCAATTCAAATGTATTTTTGAAATGACTATTTATTTTATTTTGATATGTCTGAGGATGTCATATGGATTTTGCTTTTCATAAAATTTGTGTAGTAGGAGTTGTAATGTGAAAGTGAGTGCTGGCCAGAACTGAAAGCTGTTATTGGGAATAAAAGCTTCTATTAAATGTTGTTTTGATTTAAATATTATAATTATGGCAAAAGTGAAATACAGAGAAGCAAAAAGGTTTAGACAAAAATTTTAGCTGTTGTGACTTTGCCCACTGAGGTAATTTATTGATTAATGTTCATCTCTAAAACTCTGGCTACTGTAAATCTTCAACTTAGGTAAAAAAATATGTATAATTATATATGTTACAGGTCAAAATTAAATTCAAGTTTAAAGTTTTAAACATATTCAAATTCAAATTCAAAGTAGACAGACTGCAAATTATAGTAGTTGCTAAAAAATATATCTACGTGTCCCAACTGTTCATCAGTAGGATGCCTAAAATGCATGCAGTTCCACAATTGGTTTCAGCTCCATTAAATCCTATACCAATCGACGACAAAATCATTTGAGACACTTTGCCCAAAAGGGGCTTTTTGACGTTTTACCGACTTTAAATGGGGATAATAAAGCTTTTCCTCCCCCATCCCCTCCGGGCAACGTTGTGCCACTGTTCAAGCTACCTGTAGAAAACAACAAACACCCTAGCTGTGAATGGAGGGGAGAGGGAAGGGGTGTGGATTCTTTTGTTCTCTGAAGTATAATGTCTCAATGATTTTGTTGTCGATTGTAGGTTGATTCTCAGTTATTTTCCTTTTTCTTCTAGCCCTAATTATTCATGAATTAGGGCTAGGAGACAAAGGAAATTGAGAATCAACCTAGGTTAAAAAAAATGAACCTGAATTTAATTTTGACCGGTAACATATATATATAAATTTAATCTTTAATCAATTAATCTCCCACCTTTTAAAACAAGAAGAGTCCAGTACAGGAGATTCCAAATTATAATATATACATCTTTTGGCAAAATTTTCTTTGGTTATTATTGGCTTTCTTGTGATAATTTTTATTGCTGAGAACAGTACAGAATGACAAGGAGATACACCCTTAGGACTGCGTGGTGCTATAGCAGCACTTGGTGGTCCCTAGTGCCTTGCCTTTGCTTTTGAGCAAGTTCATGTATAGGAAATCTTATTTTTTGGTTTAAAATCTTATGCTGGGCACCCTGGATTTTATAGTTTCAATGCATTAATGGGTTCCCTACAGTTTTTTCTAAGAACACAGCAGTGACCTCAAATGAAACATCCAAGGCCCTGTTTGTAAAATTTCAGCATTTGACGTACACCACAAAGATGGGTTGAAATTACGACAGTGACAAAGATAAGTACAAATATAATGGTAAAACAACAACGGGGACTTTGCTTGCACCATTATTTTTTTAAAAAATGTGTTTTAAAATTCAGACTTTTTAAAGGGACATGCCTCCCCCCCCCCCCCCCTGCCTCCCCTTAGAGGGCGGGGTTACCAGCAAGAAAATTAAAACCTGATTGTGTTTTTCAGACTTTGCACGATGACACTGACGAGACTGGAATTATTGAAGCCCCTAGAGCCAAGTCTGACTGAAGTGATAATTTCTGTTTCCATGCAGGTAAATGAGTAAATATTCTGGCTGTTTGCATTCATTTGATTGGTATCTTCCAAAGCAAAACCATGAACTGCCACCTATACCCCCCACCCACCACCACCACAAGTTAGCCCCCAGGAGGTAAGCCCCCCTTTAGCTTATACTGGGTATTGATATAGATTTGGTTTATTAGGGACCTTAAGCAACGACGATGACGATGTTGGCAGTGAAAATGTCGCTAAAAAAATGAATTTGCGTTCTTTCAGACTTAATCGCATTTATTTGGACCCGCTTAACCCTTTAAGTCCCAATAGTGACCAACAGCAATTTTCTCCTAACAATGTCCATACATTGTCAAGAGATAAGGTTGTAAGAATATGAAAAATGATCACGAAAGAGAAAATGCCTTGATGTTTTATTAAATTCTCTCAACTTATTCTTAAAGGTAATGTATGGAGATCAGTTTGGAGAATTTGTAGGTAGATACTGGGGCTTAAAGGGTTAATATGTCAAATGCAGGCGACTTTTCCTGCAACCTCGTTCCCAGGGTTCTCTGCTACCTGCACTACGCCCATAGGGTGGGTAGGAGAGAACCCTGGGAATGAGGTTGCTTTTCCTGGAGTTGAATTCTTTAGGATTTTATTCAGGTTCAAAAAGAGGAAGGAAAATTTGTCGTCGTATGTCCACGTCCTCCATAAAATGTCAAATTAGGAGGTTTCACGTCGTAGTCGTGTAGTGGACGTCAAAGAAATGTACTAAAAGCGTGCTGCACGTGCAGAGCTGTTGTCTTGGTCATTAAATCTATTGTTTTTTGAAGTTGTCGTCGTTGTCATCGTCATAGTTGCTTAAGCTCCGTATTAGTTATGACATTTTGAAACTTAATTGAAAACCAGTAAATATAATATAAGCCCCTTTGGACACAAGCCCCTCTGTTTATAAGCCCTCCTTATGAAGGTTTATTAGCCGACAGCTTATAAGCAGCAGTTTACAGTACTGAATTCTATCTGGGTCAGTGTGGAAGCAGAGGAACTCTGCTTTAGTATAATTTAGTCACTTACTTGATCACTTTCACCTTAAAGGGGCTACCTTATGTTGTTTGTTAAAAGTTAAAACATGTCTTTGCGTCAAGTGAATTCCAAAAATATTGGTTGCATTTTGTTTTTTAAGACTTTATTTACCAGTATTTATGTCATTTGTTCCTATGGATGGCAAGAATGCATGCGGAATAAAACATGGACGTGAAAAAACAGAAATTAAAATTGATCATTTCAGAAACAATTTTCTTCATATAATAATATTATTGCCTTATTACAGAGTTCTCGCAGGATTCTGAGATCCAATGAAATTGTTCTTCCATCCTCGGGTCTGATTGACACTGAACTGGATTTGTCCTTCTCGCTTCAGGTCAGTTGATAGTACATATATATCATCTTTTAAATACATACAGTCGAAACTTGGTAATACGGCCACCAATCGGCAATGAGTCAAAAAAATTTGGCCGTATTACTGTGGCAGGCTCAAATCTCATGACTTGAGGTCCGTAATGGCAAATACACCGTACACCCCAATTTTGAACCTCTATTCTCATTAATAAATATCTGGAATGTAAATATCACGTACAGTAATTGAAAAAGCTACTTAAAATTTCCTTCAGTACATGAAACTCTTTTAAAATTCAGTGTACTGTAGTCTAAAAACAGTACAAGATTAAGCTCAGATTACTTAAGGTCAATAAAATTGACAAGTTACAGGCGTTTTGAGTAGCCGTATTAACGGGTGAAATTATAACAGATTTTAGAATGTGCCCATTGGCCGTATTAACAGGTGACTGCATTAATGGGGGTTTTTTTATAAGGAAATGTATGGCCATTTTGCTGGGCCAAAAAAACTGGCCATAATATAATATATAACGAAGTGACTGTGATACCGCCGTTGCCGTAAGGCGGGGTTCCACTGTAATATTAATTTTGTTTTGGTCAAGTTACTTTTAGAGGTAGTATCACACACCCTGGGAACATTTCAGGTTAGGTTGATTTCTTTCATTTTACTTTACCTACATGTACATGTATAGTACCCTCACTTTTTGAAGAGAGCTGGGAACAACCTTCAGGTAATGCTTCAAAGACGAAAGAAATACAAGAATCGCACCATCCTTGGGTTCAAAACTTTGGCTGTTGGATTGGTAAACATGGGTCAGGTGAGAGACTGACTGCAGACTTCTAGTTACATGTAATTATCTGTTGCTCTGTTGTTGTTGTTGTTGTTGTTGTTTTCTTAACCCTTTCAATCTCAGGCGTCTTTTAAATGACAGTCTTTATTATTTGATCTGTCTGATAATCATTTCTAAGCACTGTTAATCGGGCATAGCCAAATTTTAGTTGGACACCGTCAAAATAACTGACATGTTTTAACATTTGTGCCTGGCTCTGCAATCCTAATCCTAAAGTTTGAATGGTCACTTTTTGTTCCAGACTTACACATGTATCATAATTCTTAAATGTAACAGACAAAGGAAACTGAGTTTCAAACCAGGTTGAAATCATTTTAACCTTCACTACAGTAAACTAAAAGATCGGGATCCAATTTATTAGGGTGCATTCAAAAGACAGTATTTAATAATAAATGGACAGGGTTTGCAAATTTTATTGATTCATGAGTGGAGTCAGTGTGACTTCTGCTTCACAAATTTTGGAGTCATTTTGGAATATTTGGAGTCAAGTATCACAACGAAAAAAGCCATTTTCAGACTTTCCAGCACATGGCCCTGGCATGTATACACTATCGTGAAGGATACACGAAGTAGCTGTGGCAGACTTCTGACCTGGAAAGTTCAAATCCATGATGGCAGTCATCGAGTAAACTTTGCTCGTAATTTATCCTCTTCTGTTTTGTGGTGCAGTATAATTCTTTAATTTTGATGATTCAATTAAGGTTTACAATTAACGTAAATTGTATTTGTCGTGAAAAAGGTAAGGACAAAACTGTGTTTGTTACCGAAAATTTCTGGAGTCGAAGTGACTCCCTCCGTAAACTCAGTGGAGTCATCTGAACAATTTTGGCATAAAATATGCCAAATTTGGCGTATTTGCGAACCCTGATGGAATATAAACTCTGAAAATCACTAGTTTAATCTGGCAATCATTGGACTGTAAAATCCAGAAATCTGGTGGGCAATAATAACAGTTAATTAATAATTTTTAGCTTTCTGATGGTCAAAAAGTTTGCAGTTGAAGAGATTTAACACCAATTTCAATGTATTCTTACTCCAGAATGAGATCAATCAAATGTGTCCTTAGAATATTAGGTAACATTTTTATATTGTGATTATTATTACATACTTGTTGTTTCCAGGTCCTTCAGCATGCAGTAGAAAATCAGTTAAAGTTGTACACAAAGGGAACACCTGTCCCTGTGGCACAGATTACTGTCAACTCTCTTACTAGGTTGGTTGTGCTTGGGTAAAACTACATAACTTTTCGTGGTAGCTTTTCTTCTTGCAATATACAATCAGTTACAAAATCGTTGGTCGCAACACTGCAGTTGTCATGTGAGGTATAGTTCGCCCTCTCTCCCCAAGCAACGTTGACTTGTTCATTTGGGTTGTTACTTTTGGGGCTTTTCTTTTTGTTGGCCGAAAACTGTTTTCTTAATGAAAATTGTACAAATGTAGTCAGCATCTACCTCCACTAAGTAATGCCCAAATCTTAGCTTTTGAATTAAGGTGGTTTCTTATATGGCCAGTTGAAGTTGTCTGTAATGCAGCTACTATGGATCTCCTCTGTAAAAGATTTCTGCTTATGTCTTAATTGGCAGTGAAAATTATTGGGCTTTAAAGTTAGTACAGGTACATGTACATTTTGTGAAGAAGCAGTTTTTATCATTGAATGCAAAGTAATTAGTTTATTTCCTGTGTATTCACAGCCAGCCGGTTGAAACAGATAGAATGACTGGATCAGCAGTAAGAGGTGCGTACAGTAGTAAAATACATAGTGAGAGACTTGATAATTTTACAAAGTTTGATAACCATTGGAATTTAATAATGTGTTGTGTTTTTTATTCAGGTGATGGTGATGAGAACTCTAGTGATGATGATGATGATTACTCGTTATCAGACCAGGAAGCAAGTGACAGTGGTGGAGACGCTGTAAGCACAGCTAATTTAGTTTGCTTTATCTCTATGTGCTTGGACCACAACACAAAAATTCTCTTTTCATCACTTACAATGTAATAAGTACATTTTAGCCGCCTCCAGTTCTGATACAAACTCGGCCCCTTTGCATCTATCCTGCCCCCCCCCCCCCAAAAAAAAAAATCAAACTTATTTTCATATTCATAAGTGGTTGTGCACAAAGTCTTGTTTTGATGAAGGAAATCGATTTTTCTTTCAAGGATATTCTTGATGTGGAACAGAGGCAAGGAGGTAAAATAAGGCGTGGAAAAATAACAATACCAGCAAAGGTAAATAAAACCAAAACCTCATGTTCAAAATTTTGTTTTAAATCTTTTGATGTGATTATATTTGTACCAAAAATTGACATAAAAAGTGAGTTGAGATTTTCACTATGTAACAAAGCAATACACATGTTTTGAAGAAAATTTAGGGTGTTAATACAAATGTATCTGTAATACCTGTAACGTAGAAATTTTTATGCAGTATGAAAAATCTCATTATAATAGAGTAAAATTCATCTCATCAGTCAGTACTTTCACAAATAAGAGATTGTGTGTAGTGCATAGCTAAACACTTTTCATAGCAACATAGTTACACATCAAAGCTGCAGGTGAAGTGGATCATCAGACAATTTCTTACTAAAAATTGGCCCATTTCTCACAAGGTCAGATGTGAGGTCTAGACAAAGTTAATAGTTAAGACTATTATTTTTAATTTTCAGATGAACAAAATCTACATTGAAGGCTTGTGAATAATTTACGAATGCTCAAGATAGATTTAACTTTTTTTGTCATAGTAATTAGATAGTAGTATTGCAGTGAATATGTGTGGTGCAGCTGTCTACCTGCAATTTAAGATACATACAGTCATGTAATGTGTCCTTTTGGGGAATTGGACAGCATTTTTGTCTTTTTTTTTTTTGATAACATTTGGTTTCTTATGCCCTTTTAATAATATTTTTACCATGTAAGTGCTGGCAATTTATTTTTTGACTGATGTGCCCAAGGAGTTTAATATTATATTCTTTTTCTATCATTTAGCACCAGAAGAATTTTAAACAAAAGTTTATTGCACTCCTTAAGAAGTTTAAAGTCCCAGAGGAGGTGAGTCTATTGTGTGATTGCATGAGAAAAGAAGAGTTAGAATAGAGGATGAAGCTTGTGGAAATAGCCCCATGGGTATCTACTAAATTGCTTGATATTCCCTCCCAAATGACCCCATATTTGCTAATGAAACAAAAGGGGGTCATTGTACAAAAAATCGTCAAGGGTCATGCACCCCTTCAATTTACCCTTGAGAATATGTTTGTAGCTGGCTAAAATCCTCTCGGATAGCTTGCGAGCAAGCTCTTCGGGGCGCTCTTGTGGCAGGGCAGGAAAAGGAAGGAGAGCTTGCAACTATGTCTCTGGAAATATTTGAATATCTGCATTGAAAATGTCAATGCAAAATGCTGATTGGCAGAGATGACATTAGCAAAGATGTCATTACCCTTGGTGCGTGCTTTCACGTGTTTTTCAATGTGTGTTTACATTCATGCTGGTTTCCACTTTGTGCTGATTGGTGGAAATCTGACGGCTCAGTCGATGTGGAGCCACTAGGAAATTGAAGGCAGAATTGAAATTTCAGAGACATACATAAGTGTGGTTGTAAGCTCTCCCTCCTTTTTTCTGCCCTGGTGCCAGAGGGCCCCGGAGTGCTTGCTCACAGGCTACCTCTGTGACTTCTAGAAAATCAACAGTGGCACCACTCAAGCAGACTACTGTATTTGACTCACTTGTTTAATTATTTCTTGAAGGCATTAGTTAATGAGATGGGAACTCTTCAGGATATGGATATCAGCCCTCCAGAAAACGATGAGGCAGGGGATGATTTTCTCTTTCCTGATGATTTGGAAGACTTGGACAGTGATATGGAAAATAACCTTCTTGAAGACTCCATAAGTATTGTGTCAACACCTAAACCTTCTCTAAGGTATTAAATATGGTATTTTATTAAATTCTGTTTTAAGACCGAGTCATCGTTAGGTCAGCGTCTTGGTCATACTTGTCAACTGGTTTGCCCCAGCCCTACCCAACCTGGAGACTTTTAATCATGTTACAAAACAGTGTATGTTTATTTTTGATTACTTGAATGGAATGCTTGTAAACTAGCAAGAGCTCCAATTGCACTTTCATTAAAAATAAGACATACAGTGGATCTGTCATTTGTTTTGTTTCACATTTTGTTTAAGTTGTTGTAAATATCACCTGTTTGAGTTTTGGAATTCATTATTATTTATAGGAATTAGCCTGCGTGGCAAGCGTTCAAAAGGGAAAGGAAAAGGAAATTTGGGCCAAATTTCCTTTCCCTTCCGTTTGGAACGCTTGCCACACAGGCTATATAAAAATCATTTGACCAGATTCTTTCTTTATGCAACTGTTTTTAGCACTTCAAATACTTCAAATGCCAGCTTCAGATTCTTTCAGAATGGTCAAGGCAACTTATTGATGCCGTTGATAAAACACATGACTTCATTTTATTTGTTTTTAGACCTTTCTTTGACCCTAGAAGCTCAGTTGAAAATGTTCCAAATCATGTCGACACTTTGGTAAGTTATTTTGATGCATAACGTGATTAAGGGGCAATATTCCAGCAAAATTTGTCTGCAATTATGGCGAGCGAAGCGTCTCCTTTCGCGTGCGACTCTCGCATAACTTCGCGCAAAAACCGGTCGTTTCGATACAAGTCGTTTTGATACAAGCTCAAGCAGTGAAATTGCACAAAAATTTTGTTCACTTTAAGTATAGTTTGTGAGTGAAGAAGAAAAACATTTTGGGTGAATATCTTCGTTCTTTAAGCCAAGTATGTGGAACTATTTACACTTCGAATGAATAAACTTGTATCCAAACGACTTGTATCGAGACAACTTTGTATCGAAACGACCAGTAACCCTTCGCGCGACTCCCCCAAATGTAGAGCTTGCTTGCAGGCTTAGGGTGAGGTTACTACCCCCCCCCCCCCCTGCCTCCCCTTAGAGGGCGGGGTTACCAGCAAGAAAATTAAAACCTGATTGTGTTTTTCAGACTTTGCACGATGACACTGACGAGACTGGAATTATTGAAGCCCCTAGAGCCAAGTCTGACTGAAGTGATAATTTCTGTTTCCATGCAGGTAAATGAGTAAATATTCTGGCTGTTTGCATTCATTTGATTGGTATCTTCCAAAGCAAAACCATGAACTGCCACCTATACCCCCCACCCACCACCACCACAAGTTAGCCCCCAGGAGGTAAGCCCCCCTTTAGCTTATACTGGGTATTGATATAGATTTGGTTTATTAGGGACCTTAAGCAACGACGATGACGATGTTGGCAGTGAAAATGTCGCTAAAAAAATGAATTTGCGTTCTTTCAGACTTAATCGCATTTATTTGGACCCGCTTAACCCTTTAAGTCCCAATAGTGACCAACAGCAATTTTCTCCTAACAATGTCCATACATTGTCAAGAGATAAGGTTGTAAGAATATGAAAAATGATCACGAAAGAGAAAATGCCTTGATGTTTTATTAAATTCTCTCAACTTATTCTTAAAGGTAATGTATGGAGATCAGTTTGGAGAATTTGTAGGTAGATACTGGGGCTTAAAGGGTTAATATGTCAAATGCAGGCGACTTTTCCTGCAACCTCGTTCCCAGGGTTCTCTGCTACCTGCACTACGCCCATAGGGTGGGTAGGAGAGAACCCTGGGAATGAGGTTGCTTTTCCTGGAGTTGAATTCTTTAGGATTTTATTCAGGTTCAAAAAGAGGAAGGAAAATTTGTCGTCGTATGTCCACGTCCTCCATAAAATGTCAAATTAGGAGGTTTCACGTCGTAGTCGTGTAGTGGACGTCAAAGAAATGTACTAAAAGCGTGCTGCACGTGCAGAGCTGTTGTCTTGGTCATTAAATCTATTGTTTTTTGAAGTTGTCGTCGTTGTCATCGTCATAGTTGCTTAAGCTCCGTATTAGTTATGACATTTTGAAACTTAATTGAAAACCAGTAAATATAATATAAGCCCCTTTGGACACAAGCCCCTCTGTTTATAAGCCCTCCTTATGAAGGTTTATTAGCCGACAGCTTATAAGCAGCAGTTTACAGTACTGAATTCTATCTGGGTCAGTGTGGAAGCAGAGGAACTCTGCTTTAGTATAATTTAGTCACTTACTTGATCACTTTCACCTTAAAGGGGCTACCTTATGTTGTTTGTTAAAAGTTAAAACATGTCTTTGCGTCAAGTGAATTCCAAAAATATTGGTTGCATTTTGTTTTTTAAGACTTTATTTACCAGTATTTATGTCATTTGTTCCTATGGATGGCAAGAATGCATGCGGAATAAAACATGGACGTGAAAAAACAGAAATTAAAATTGATCATTTCAGAAACAATTTTCTTCATATAATAATATTATTGCCTTATTACAGAGTTCTCGCAGGATTCTGAGATCCAATGAAATTGTTCTTCCATCCTCGGGTCTGATTGACACTGAACTGGATTTGTCCTTCTCGCTTCAGGTCAGTTGATAGTACATATATATCATCTTTTAAATACATACAGTCGAAACTTGGTAATACGGCCACCAATCGGCAATGAGTCAAAAAAATTTGGCCGTATTACTGTGGCAGGCTCAAATCTCATGACTTGAGGTCCGTAATGGCAAATACACCGTACACCCCAATTTTGAACCTCTATTCTCATTAATAAATATCTGGAATGTAAATATCACGTACAGTAATTGAAAAAGCTACTTAAAATTTCCTTCAGTACATGAAACTCTTTTAAAATTCAGTGTACTGTAGTCTAAAAACAGTACAAGATTAAGCTCAGATTACTTAAGGTCAATAAAATTGACAAGTTACAGGCGTTTTGAGTAGCCGTATTAACGGGTGAAATTATAACAGATTTTAGAATGTGCCCATTGGCCGTATTAACAGGTGACTGCATTAATGGGGGTTTTTTTATAAGGAAATGTATGGCCATTTTGCTGGGCCAAAAAAACTGGCCATAATATAATATATAACGAAGTGACTGTGATACCGCCGTTGCCGTAAGGCGGGGTTCCACTGTAATATTAATTTTGTTTTGGTCAAGTTACTTTTAGAGGTAGTATCACACACCCTGGGAACATTTCAGGTTAGGTTGATTTCTTTCATTTTACTTTACCTACATGTACATGTATAGTACCCTCACTTTTTGAAGAGAGCTGGGAACAACCTTCAGGTAATGCTTCAAAGACGAAAGAAATACAAGAATCGCACCATCCTTGGGTTCAAAACTTTGGCTGTTGGATTGGTAAACATGGGTCAGGTGAGAGACTGACTGCAGACTTCTAGTTACATGTAATTATCTGTTGCTCTGTTGTTGTTGTTGTTGTTGTTGTTTTCTTAACCCTTTCAATCTCAGGCGTCTTTTAAATGACAGTCTTTATTATTTGATCTGTCTGATAATCATTTCTAAGCACTGTTAATCGGGCATAGCCAAATTTTAGTTGGACACCGTCAAAATAACTGACATGTTTTAACATTTGTGCCTGGCTCTGCAATCCTAATCCTAAAGTTTGAATGGTCACTTTTTGTTCCAGACTTACACATGTATCATAATTCTTAAATGTAACAGACAAAGGAAACTGAGTTTCAAACCAGGTTGAAATCATTTTAACCTTCACTACAGTAAACTAAAAGATCGGGATCCAATTTATTAGGGTGCATTCAAAAGACAGTATTTAATAATAAATGGACAGGGTTTGCAAATTTTATTGATTCATGAGTGGAGTCAGTGTGACTTCTGCTTCACAAATTTTGGAGTCATTTTGGAATATTTGGAGTCAAGTATCACAACGAAAAAAGCCATTTTCAGACTTTCCAGCACATGGCCCTGGCATGTATACACTATCGTGAAGGATACACGAAGTAGCTGTGGCAGACTTCTGACCTGGAAAGTTCAAATCCATGATGGCAGTCATCGAGTAAACTTTGCTCGTAATTTATCCTCTTCTGTTTTGTGGTGCAGTATAATTCTTTAATTTTGATGATTCAATTAAGGTTTACAATTAACGTAAATTGTATTTGTCGTGAAAAAGGTAAGGACAAAACTGTGTTTGTTACCGAAAATTTCTGGAGTCGAAGTGACTCCCTCCGTAAACTCAGTGGAGTCATCTGAACAATTTTGGCATAAAATATGCCAAATTTGGCGTATTTGCGAACCCTGATGGAATATAAACTCTGAAAATCACTAGTTTAATCTGGCAATCATTGGACTGTAAAATCCAGAAATCTGGTGGGCAATAATAACAGTTAATTAATAATTTTTAGCTTTCTGATGGTCAAAAAGTTTGCAGTTGAAGAGATTTAACACCAATTTCAATGTATTCTTACTCCAGAATGAGATCAATCAAATGTGTCCTTAGAATATTAGGTAACATTTTTATATTGTGATTATTATTACATACTTGTTGTTTCCAGGTCCTTCAGCATGCAGTAGAAAATCAGTTAAAGTTGTACACAAAGGGAACACCTGTCCCTGTGGCACAGATTACTGTCAACTCTCTTACTAGGTTGGTTGTGCTTGGGTAAAACTACATAACTTTTCGTGGTAGCTTTTCTTCTTGCAATATACAATCAGTTACAAAATCGTTGGTCGCAACACTGCAGTTGTCATGTGAGGTATAGTTCGCCCTCTCTCCCCAAGCAACGTTGACTTGTTCATTTGGGTTGTTACTTTTGGGGCTTTTCTTTTTGTTGGCCGAAAACTGTTTTCTTAATGAAAATTGTACAAATGTAGTCAGCATCTACCTCCACTAAGTAATGCCCAAATCTTAGCTTTTGAATTAAGGTGGTTTCTTATATGGCCAGTTGAAGTTGTCTGTAATGCAGCTACTATGGATCTCCTCTGTAAAAGATTTCTGCTTATGTCTTAATTGGCAGTGAAAATTATTGGGCTTTAAAGTTAGTACAGGTACATGTACATTTTGTGAAGAAGCAGTTTTTATCATTGAATGCAAAGTAATTAGTTTATTTCCTGTGTATTCACAGCCAGCCGGTTGAAACAGATAGAATGACTGGATCAGCAGTAAGAGGTGCGTACAGTAGTAAAATACATAGTGAGAGACTTGATAATTTTACAAAGTTTGATAACCATTGGAATTTAATAATGTGTTGTGTTTTTTATTCAGGTGATGGTGATGAGAACTCTAGTGATGATGATGATGATTACTCGTTATCAGACCAGGAAGCAAGTGACAGTGGTGGAGACGCTGTAAACACAGCTAATTTAGTTTGCTTTATCTCTATGTGCTTGGACCACAACACAAAAATTCTCTTTTCATCACTTAAAATGTAATAAGTACATTTTAGCCGCCCCCAGTTCTGATACAAACTCGGCCCCTTTGCATCTATCCCGCCCCCCCCCCCCAAAAAAAAAAATCAAACTTATTTTCATATTCATAAGTGGTTGTGCACAAAGTCTTGTTTTGATGAAGGAAATCGATTTTTCTTTCAAGGATATTCTTGATGTGGAACAGAGGCAAGGAGGTAAAATAAGGCGTGGAAAAATAACAATACCAGCAAAGGTAAATAAAACCAAAACCTCATGTTCAAAATTTTGTTTTAAATCTTTTGATGTGATTATATTTGTACCAAAAATTGACATAAAAAGTGAGTTGAGATTTTCACTATGTAACAAAGCAATACACATGTTTTGAAGAAAATTTAGGGTGTTAATACAAATGTATCTGTAATACCTGTAACGTAGAAATTTTTATGCAGTATGAAAAATCTCATTATAATAGAGTAAAATTCATCTCATCAGTCAGTACTTTCACAAATAAGAGATTGTGTGTAGTGCATAGCTAAACACTTTTCATAGCAACATAGTTACACATCAAAGCTGCAGGTGAAGTGGATCATCAGACAATTTCTTACTAAAAATTGGCCCATTTCTCACAAGGTCAGATGTGAGGTCTAGACAAAGTTAATAGTTAAGACTATTATTTTTAATTTTCAGATGAACAAAATCTACATTGAAGGCTTGTGAATAATTTACGAATGCTCAAGATAGATTTAACTTTTTTTGTCATAGTAATTAGATAGTAGTATTGCAGTGAATATGTGTGGTGCAGCTGTCTACCTGCAATTTAAGATACATACAGTCATGTAATGTGTCCTTTTGGGGAATTGGACAGCATTTTTGTCTTTTTTTTTTTTGATAACATTTGGTTTCTTATGCCCTTTTAATAATATTTTTACCATGTAAGTGCTGGCAATTTATTTTTTGACTGATGTGCCCAAGGAGTTTAATATTATATTCTTTTTCTATCATTTAGCACCAGAAGAATTTTAAACAAAAGTTTATTGCACTCCTTAAGAAGTTTAAAGTCCCAGAGGAGGTGAGTCTATTGTGTGATTGCATGAGAAAAGAAGAGTTAGAATAGAGGATGAAGCTTGTGGAAATAGCCCCATGGGTATCTACTAAATTGCTTGATATTCCCTCCCAAATGACCCCATATTTGCTAATGAAACAAAAGGGGGTCATTGTACAAAAAATCGTCAAGGGTCATGCACCCCTTCAATTTACCCTTGAGAATATGTTTGTAGCTGGCTAAAATCCTCTCGGATAGCTTGCGAGCAAGCTCTTCGGGGCGCTCTTGTGGCAGGGCAGGAAAAGGAAGGAGAGCTTGCAACTATGTCTCTGGAAATATTTGAATATCTGCATTGAAAATGTCAATGCAAAATGCTGATTGGCAGAGATGACATTAGCAAAGATGTCATTACCCTTGGTGCGTGCTTTCACGTGTTTTTCAATGTGTGTTTACATTCATGCTGGTTTCCACTTTGTGCTGATTGGTGGAAATCTGACGGCTCAGTCGATGTGGAGCCACTAGGAAATTGAAGGCAGAATTGAAATTTCAGAGACATACATAAGTGTGGTTGTAAGCTCTCCCTCCTTTTTTCTGCCCTGGTGCCAGAGGGCCCCGGAGTGCTTGCTCACAGGCTACCTCTGTGACTTCTAGAAAATCAACAGTGGCACCACTCAAGCAGACTACTGTATTTGACTCACTTGTTTAATTATTTCTTGAAGGCATTAGTTAATGAGATGGGAACTCTTCAGGATATGGATATCAGCCCTCCAGAAAACGATGAGGCAGGGGATGATTTTCTCTTTCCTGATGATTTGGAAGACTTGGACAGTGATATGGAAAATAACCTTCTTGAAGACTCCATAAGTATTGTGTCAACACCTAAACCTTCTCTAAGGTATTAAATATGGTATTTTATTAAATTCTGTTTTAAGACCGAGTCATCGTTAGGTCAGCGTCTTGGTCATACTTGTCAACTGGTTTGCCCCAGCCCTACCCAACCTGGAGACTTTTAATCATGTTACAAAACAGTGTATGTTTATTTTTGATTACTTGAATGGAATGCTTGTAAACTAGCAAGAGCTCCAATTGCACTTTCATTAAAAATAAGACATACAGTGGATCTGTCATTTGTTTTGTTTCACATTTTGTTTAAGTTGTTGTAAATATCACCTGTTTGAGTTTTGGAATTCATTATTATTTATAGGAATTAGCCTGCGTGGCAAGCGTTCAAAAGGGAAAGGAAAAGGAAATTTGGGCCAAATTTCCTTTCCCTTCCGTTTGGAACGCTTGCCACACAGGCTATATAAAAATCATTTGACCAGATTCTTTCTTTATGCAACTGTTTTTAGCACTTCAAATACTTCAAATGCCAGCTTCAGATTCTTTCAGAATGGTCAAGGCAACTTATTGATGCCGTTGATAAAACACATGACTTCATTTTATTTGTTTTTAGACCTTTCTTTGACCCTAGAAGCTCAGTTGAAAATGTTCCAAATCATGTCGACACTTTGGTAAGTTATTTTGATGCATAACGTGATTAAGGGGCAATATTCCAGCAAAATTTGTCTGCAATTATGGCGAGCGAAGCGTCTCCTTTCGCGTGCGACTCTCGCATAACTTCGCGCAAAAACCGGTCGTTTCGATACAAGTCGTTTTGATACAAGCTCAAGCAGTGAAATTGCACAAAAATTTTGTTCACTTTAAGTATAGTTTGTGAGTGAAGAAGAAAAACATTTTGGGTGAATATCTTCGTTCTTTAAGCCAAGTATGTGGAACTATTTACACTTCGAATGAATAAACTTGTATCCAAACGACTTGTATCGAGACAACTTTGTATCGAAACGACCAGTAACCCTTCGCGCGACTCCCCCAAATGTAGAGCTTGCTTGCAGGCTTAGGGTGAGGTTACACGGGACAATTCGCAACGACAATTTCTAGCGCAGCAAAGCGTTACAATGTTGAAACAATGCTGCAACCATTGGAAACAATATCGCAACAATGTTGCAACGCTGTATTGCGCAAAAAATCGTCGTTGCGAATTGTCCCGTGTAACATCACCTTAAAGAGAGTGAGCAACATAAAACTGGGATATGTCAATGGCAAGCAGGCTAATTGTTATTTGTTGATGCTGAAGGCTGATTTGCCAGGCACTGATAATTTTTTTGTGACACAAGCTCAACAATAATTGGTTAAATTTCAGTGAGTAGCTTGTTTTGTTGAATAATGTTCTGGTACATTAGATTGACGAAGAAGAGCTCAGAAGTCCGCCGGCGTCAATTCAGGTGCAGGAAGCTGACGATGTTCGAGTAGATCATGAAATGGTGAGTTTTGTTGAAATAATGTATCAGTTAATGAGTTTGTGGCAGTAGCATTGTTATACATGTAAGTTCACTTGTTTGTTCGTTTGTTTGTGCGTAGGACGTTGTAAGTCCACCTTCTGACGGAGAAAATCTTTCGGACTCGACGAACACGTCAGACGCTTTGTCGGGAGGAGGCTTGGACGAGACGCCGTCTGTACGACGCAGTGTGTCATTCAAGGAAAAAAGAAATTTGGATGACTCGGACACTTTAACCAAAAGAAGAAACAGCGATATCGATCTGCAGGTGGGTGTAAAGCCATTCATATTTTGCTTGTTCTCCATTTATATAGAAAATGCAGTTATAATCAATCAATTAAATAATCAACTATTGAAGCCGAAGATGCTGAATGTGTTATTCCTGATTTCAGCTACCGAAAGTCACGTTAAACGAACAATTGAGCAGTGTGTTATCAGGGGATATTCCTGAGTCCATTCTGTTGATCAATACTGCCGAGTGGCAAGGACAGGTAAGGACTTTTAGGTGCAATTCCCAGAATGATAAATGTATGTGTGTTTTCGACGCAAAAACAGATGAAACGTTTTCCGTCCGTCCTATGTCGTTTCCTGAACTTGCGATAATCTCCTTTACGTTTAATTCTGCATTCCGCAGTTCTAATATATGATTTTCATATAGCGTTTTCTGATCGATTTCCTTCTCACTTTCACCATCCAGAATAATCTGGACACAATTTGAAAACTGAACGAAAGGTCCTCAGCTCTTGGCTGTCGACGAAGCAACTCGCCCTAACATGACCATCTCATGACCATTTCGTGTCTGTGTTTTTCGAAAATCCTCATGTTCGACCCACCACTTTACACCACTTAGCCCCTGTTTTCAATTCAGTTTTCGCCCTGGTGACTCTTTCTGGGTGACCAAAGACTCTGTTTTGGCGTCTACGGTAGGTGGCATAGAGTAGAAAAAGCGATGTGTCTTTAATGCGCACGCGTTTTGGGTTTATGTAATAGCACTCTCAGAATGCTGTTTGACGTTATGAGGTTTAATGTTTCCCTCTTCTGTTTCTGCAGCTGTTGGCACTAAAGCTCTGTGATAAAGCTGTGAAGATGATTTGCACGAGATCAAGTTCAGACGTACATGCAGTTTTCTTGGCCATCGTTAATAAATATCAGAAATTGTAAGATGACACCAATTTTCTTTTAACCTTCTGTGTCACGTTGTGTCTCATGTTATATGCCTTCTTTCTCGTTAGCTGTAATACACATCCAAAGTCAACCCGACAGCTGAGTGTAGCGATCGCCGGCACAGAGTCCTACATCAGCGCTGTACTTCAGCCTTACGTGGAACACTTCGCTTCCAAGCCATCAGATTGGCAAAATTTTCTTCGCTTTCTCGTTATTCCCCTCGGTAAGTTAATACAACTACCTTTTTTAAAAGGTAATACCGACGGACTTAAATTTGTATGCGATAGACTAAGCCTCCCTCACGGGTGTAGTATATATTTGTTTTGTACCTCATGACAGGTCACTTGGATAAATCTCTTCTCCCTATGCCCTTTTTTACTTGAGCAACCATTTTTCTCCATTTTAAGATTTCATTTTAAGGCAAGATACACATGTGCATATCGCGTGTCAATTTTAGGACACAAATTTTCCTTTCTTGTTCCGTACGTTTCTATTAGTCGTATTAGGGAGAATTTGTTTAAATATTTTAGAGAATGTATCTTGGGTGATCAGAGACTAAATTTTCATAACCTCTATGGTTGAATCACTGTTGAGGCTTGAAGAGTTAACCCAATTTGTTTATGGTTTACAGACAGTCAACCTTTAGCTAAGTATATCGCGTCGTTGGATCCGAGGTACAGCTCTCTTTTCATGGACAATGTTTGGAAAGAAGCGTTTGAACACTCCGACACGACTGTCGGTGAGTCTGTAGCATCCTTTCTCTGTCTGTTGATAATGAAATCTGATTATTTTGTAATGATTGTATATTATTCCGCAGCTGGTGCGAGTGATCAGCTCGTCAGACCCGTAATCCGGTGTTTCCTCTCAGACCACTAACTAGCTGGACTTATTACTCGGCTGGCATTGTAGACGTTTTCTTCCGGTTCGTGAATGTTTCTGCTCGAATATCCGCCATATTAGATTCTAAAAAGTTGGGGTGTTGACAGAGGCAAGTCAGCCGCTCCCCCTCCCCCTCCCCCTCCCCCTACCCCATCTCTTTCCTTCACCCTAACACTTATTTCTGGGCGGCTATTTCTACTTTCCTTAATCTTTCTCAATGATGAAATCAAAGATGGCGGTCACGACGTAACTAACATAAACAAATTGCTTTCGCCCGCCCGAAAAATACGCCTGTATTGGGCGCTACAGTCCTTTGTTTAACTCCTCAGCCATGTTGTAAATAGCCGAGTTTACTAGTTGCCTCCTGCCAGTTGTTGTTTCATTTAGACTATTTCTCATTTGCGCAAATCGTTCACCAGTCACTCTGGCCATGTTATTGATCAATGAAAAAAAATGCAATTTGCTTCTTATATCCTTATTTCTGATGGAATTTCACTTAGCTGCTCTGTCTGGTTCATAGCCACTTTCACCATAAACAAACATTTAATAACTATATTACTTTGTTCATTGACCATTAACGTAGCCAGAGTGACTGGTCCAAGATTTCTGCAGAGGGGAAGCAAAATTCATGAATGGCAAAATTCTGTTCTAAATGGCTTTGTACCATTTGCATAGTTACGTCTGTTTCCAGGAAGGAGTTCGGTAGTACTTATCATCATCCCGGAGTGAAATTTCTTCCTTAGTCAGGACGACTATTATAGCCTTGCCATATACACTTCAACGTAAACTTCAAATTTGGAACTCCCCTCCAAAAGACCTTGCTGTCTTTGCCAATTGAAATGCCTGGAAAAGGTTGTAACTTCCTATGACACTTCCCATGACACGATTTTTTGATGATTTTGTTAGTAGGTGCAGAAAGAACTAACACGTTTTATGGCTCGTATTGTGTTTTTTTCTCTCTATTGAGGTGTTTTCTAATTTCTTCCTACAAACGTCTGGTAGGCAGATTTGTTAACACTTTCAGCTATTTTTAAGCTGCTTGACCGCTTTGTAGTCTTAGTCCCGCGCCAACAGCATGATGTTTTTTTAATTGTAGACTTTGAGGAAGTCAGCAGACGAGTCAAAACCTTCATGTCAACGGCCACTATCGCACATAACCTGCCGATTGCTGAGGCACTTGTAAATACAAAACCAAAAGGGTTAGTGAAAATTCCATAGATCTTAACCTCATTCCCTAGTTTTAAGGTTCCTTTTGAGAAACCCCGGCCTGCTGTCTGTTATTGTGTTGTTTTCTTCTTCGAGTAAGTTCTCAGGATAGTCTCTGTGTTCGACCCGCGGGGGAACGGGGTGGTGGGAATGGGAAGAGGGAGCCGTCCTTTGTTCCCTTCCCTCCCCCACTTCCAAACCCAACCAAAGAATTCCCAGAAAGAAAGTTTGTTCCCAGGTCTTTCCACTTTGTCGCAAAAGTTTCATTAGATGAACTTTAAGAGAAAGTATTGATTGTTCGGCAGTAACCGAGCGACAGACTAGGGTGAAGAGGGAAGGCTCTTACTTTTGTTCCATTATAGCGCGACTTTTCAGATTGTTCTTCCTTTATGTCAGAGCATAGAATGTAGTGTTTGCCTTCCTTGGTTATCATGGATTGCGATTATTCGCATCTATGTAAATCGTCTATCTCTGTATTTTTCCTCAAAGCTGATTTTTCTTTTTTTGTGTTTAGGTCTGAAGAGGGCTCATCGCAAATATTTCTACCGTTTGTTTGTGTAAGTATAAAAGTTACAGAATCTTCTCCCAGATTTTTGTTTCATTAAAGATGAACGAAAATTTGTGGGTTGTGCAAAGTTAAGGGGTTCCCTTTTAGATCCAGTTTTCTAAAATTGGTATCTTGCGTATTTTCCTTCCAGGACGTCAGGATTGGTTCAACAGATCAAGGTAAGCGACACGGGACAAGGCTTAACCTTAACTGAAACGTGACATGCATGCGTAGGAAGCGTATCCGTTCGAGTTCCGGATTTTACAACTTTTGCTATAAAGGGCTATAAAGGTTCCTTCTACTTGTTGGTTGCTGGATAATGTTGGGTTGGGCGGAGTCGCGCAGTTGTGTAGGGACAATCTCGTAGCGCAGGAACTGTGGAGCAAAGGAGCGCAGTGGGACAGCACTCACCTCCTATCAGTAAAGCCTGAGTTCGAATATTTGAGGCAACAGTTTGTTGTTAATTTTCGCCCTTGCACCGAGAAGATTTTCTCTGGGTGCCTCGGTTTTCCCTTCTTGTCAGAAATGAACATTTCCAAATTCCAATTCGATTCTGATCGGTGAACAACGGATCACCTCGTAGATGAACCACGTCTGAAGTGTTATTCATTCATTCATTCATTCATTTGTTTGTTTGTTTACGTATTTATTTCAGTATTTTCTCAAGTTTGCAGGTTATGCCAATGTGCCGCCAAATCCGCGCCCCGTGATCTACTAGCCATCAATAGTTGTTCTCATCGTCTTTTATTTCGTTTTTGCATTGTAGCAGACGACGAACCTGTAGCAACCACTAGCATGCCGACGAGTACCGGAGCTAAGAGCATAGGGACAAATTTGAGGGCTGAAAATCAGGGACCCGCCCTAGGAAGTCCCCAGACGCCCCCAACTTCAAACACTCCTTCGACAAGGTACGTGCGGTGTAAGGAGTAAATCAGTGCTAGAGTCAACTTGTGATCGTTTCGTTTTCTGTGGCGTGAATTGTGCCCTAAATCTTTTTCTATGCATTCAGGGGCGTAAATGATCTCTGGGTATGACCCAGTGTAATATAGCGTCAGGGATCAGAGTGCACTAGGCTGGAGAGTATTTGTTTGACTGTTCAGTGAAACCCCGCCTTACTACCTCTTCGTTGACCGAGTGATTTTTCGCCCGAATAAAGGCTCACTCATTTCCTCATTCTACAACCTCGAAGATGTTACCACCTCGTTATTACAAACAACGACCATGTATTGGAGTCGCTAGGAGTTATTCTCTTCACTTTTACCTCTTGACTACAACTTGATTTACCTTTGTGAGTTCTCTCATTTGGCTACGGTGAAGATCTCCCTTTTTCTTACGCTCGCGTTCTTTGTTTCGTTCCCAGCCTCCATGACAGTGGAGGAAGCGGAGTAGGCCTGTGGTCGAGTGAGCTAATGGATCTTCAAGTTGACTATTGGCTGGTACCGGGATTAAAAAAGGATGTTAATAAGGTACTGTTTATACTTTGACTTTGTTTTATTTGCTGCCTTGACATAGGTCCTTTATGAGCTATGTGATTGGAGTGTGTTTGTTGGTGCTTCCCTGAAGTCTTTTTCTCTCTTTTTAGTCGTCTCTCAAAACAACGTTTCGAACGCTAGTCGTCTCCAGACTCCCATCCCTCGAATCTCCAGATGAACCATCTGCGCTGACAGTCATGGCCGTGACCAAAGAACGCAATAAGAGAGGTCTGGATTGATGTTATGCCTTGTATTTTTTCCTTTCTCGTTTTTATTCAGTAGTTCTTTCGAGGATATTCTAGTTGACCCGTGCAAAGACCCCAGTACCTTACTGTATATGCAATGTATTTTCTTTGCGTATTTTTTTGTTTTGTTTTGTTTCTTGGAACCAATTTAACTGCTGACAAAATTAACCTTCCCCTTCCCCTTTTAACGCCTGACACGCAGGCTAGAGAACAAATAATACCATGTGCAAATTGTTTTTAAAAAGAATTAGTTCTTTTTCTGAGTGCCCGCTATAAAACTTTCATGTTTTTCTTCCAACGCAATTCGTCTCCTTTGTTTTATGGCGATCACTGTCCGCATCAGTTAAAGTTCTCCAAGGAAACGACAAACAACCCAGTGAACTGAGTGCGAAACTGTACTTATTGAATAGTATTTTAAAAACAATTATTCCTGGGTTCATTCTAGGACTAGTTGCGTAAAACTTACGTCCGACGTCAACTTGTATGCGCCGACTAACCAGTCAGGTGGTTTTAGAGTCCACTAGATTCTGAGAGGAGGACGACTACAAGAATCAGATTTTCTCTATACTAAGTAGTGCGCGCGCGTGAACCAGTTTCATTTAGGCGGGAAAACGCGATAGCCGCCGTTATTCTACTACGGGTTTAGCAAGAATGTCGTAGTGACGGAAACAAGGTATCAAATGTTAGAAGTTTTACAAGTTTGGGATTGGCAGAGTAACCTCCCTCGATAAGAATAACCGTGTTAACTTTTCTAAAATGAAGCTTCCCGGGATGTTCTTTTTTAGAATATGCGAGAAAAGAAAAACTAGTCAAATCTTTTCCTCGTAGATGTCCTCGCCTTCGAATCCAAAAGCCTCTATTAGCCATTATGTTTTATAAAAAGCAGAGTATGTGTAGCTCTTTTTTAGTAATGATTTGTTTTGTTTTCTGCTCAATGTAACGTATATGTGCCTTTGATACATCTTAAACGCTTTCGCTTGTATGCACTTTAGTCTCGGTGATCCAGCATCTTACGGCTGTTTTATATCCTTTCTGCAGGACTTGAAGCTGTTATGCGGTCCATGAAGAAATCAAAAGAGCGAGACACCGAATCCAAGAATCAACCTGTGGTGGCGAGTGTGTCCAAACTAATTTGTACCACAAGAGGACAGAGCAGTACGTTAAACGGTGAGTTAATAAACCCACATAGTACCCTGGGAGCCAGGGATTTTATGGTGACCAGTCTTTTGTCGCGGCTTCCTCGCTTGTGGCTCAGGCCTTCGGCCAAAGATGTGTCTACCGGCTGCCGACCCCAAAACATCCTGCCGCACGCTGGTACCCAGGGTAATGAACTAGTTCTTGCTGTAGCTTAAGGTTATCTCCCCACGATTCTGCTTAAATTGTAAACTCGCGCAAAATTCTGCATTAACGGCCCTCGAGAACGATATTTAGCACGTGAAAGATTGTTATCGCAATTCAGCAGTGTTTTGCGAATCGAAATCGATTACGTGTGGACGGAATCCGTGAACGCATAAATTTGTATAGTGATTTACAACTTTAAATCAACTCGTGTGCACCCAGCCAGATTGTCAACGAGGCGGGCTTGTGAACTTCTTGAGGAATGTTTACTTTCGGTTTGTGATTCATTTGGTGACAGCATATATATCTTCAGCTACATGATGCGTTTGCTTACAGGGTTTTCAATAAAAACCGGCGGCTGGCTTAATTCGCCGGCTATTTTACGTGAATTCGCGGCCTACTTTTCTTTGGAAACTACCCCAGTTTAAATACAGTATTCATGTGCTTTCACCAGATAAAAAAGCCAAAATTTAATGATGTCTGTTTTCTTTTCAAACACTCTAATTTTTGCTCCAAAATGCTGGAAATGTTTTCTAAGAGCCCCAAATTTCAAAATTTTGTCAGGGGGCATCCCTCCGGACCCCTTAGATTCTCGCGCCTTCAGCACTCTATGGAAATTTGTTAAATAGGGAGCAGTAGGTAGAGTCCAGACTGCATTGTTGTATTTATTGTCTTTCAGTTGTGATTGATGGTGTGACGTGGAGCGGTGTCAAGTTCTTTTCGCTCTCCTCCCAGTGGCCCACGCATATCAAGAACTTTCCCATCGGTCTGTTCGGAAGAGCCGAGACCACGTGTTGAACACTCCTATCCAGGTCAGAAAACGTGGATTGTGAGGTGCTGAGGCGAGTTTGACGTGCCTTAGTTCAAGTGGAAAATCCCCCGTAGTGTAGTGATTTAATTGTCCATGAAAAGCGTTGAGCAGTTTGAACTCGCTAAATTTGTTGATATAGATTTCGAAAGGCGAGAGAAAATGTTGAGATAAGGTCAATAAGCCTTTTATTCGCCGAGTTCTATTTCGGATGTTTTATGTGACGTTAGTCATCCAAACATTTGAAGCTGTTAACTTGGCGGACAGACTAGTTGGTTGTCAGTTCCAAGTACTGTGGATGCAACTAAGCGCGCTCCTGTACTTTCGCTATGTTCAAAGAATTGAGTTGGGTAAACATCAAAAAATGTGTATAAACAATCTCTGTCAGATGCAAATACAGATTTACTGGCGACAGCAGACGTCAGTTAACAAACAGCATAGAATCAAGTCCTTGCTAATTTTCAGTTTTCAGCTACTCCTTTTGATATGAGATCAAGGAAGCTACATCATCTGTTCATACCTTGAAGACCGTTTTTTGATGTTAGATGCTTCGTGTTCTTTAGCTGGGCATTGCATGCCTCGTGATTGATTGAAAAATCTCGCGCGCTTTTTACACCAATAAGACGTAAAACAGTAAACAAACGTAACTTGGTCACACCAGTTTTCCCGCGCCTGCCTGGCGCCGGCGATATGTATTTGCCTCTCTGATTGGTTCAGTACTTTATTACCTGTATTGTGATTAGATAGAATATTTATTCTGGTTTGGACTTAAAATCAGTTCAAACAAGCTCTCGATCAAACGTAATGATTACAATATTAGACAGCGTTGCTTGAAAGTTTTAACAAATATTGAGTCAAAAAGGCGCGAAAAAAAAGTTTTATTGGAGAAAACAGAAACAGCCCCTCGAGAGGAGCGATTTAAATTGTCTATCGATGAGGACACTTTGCAACGCATATCATAAGGATCGTATTATTCTGTAGTGTTCGGTCCTGGTCATATCTGAGAAATTGTTGAAAAACTGTAAACGAGCTTGAATATTGTTTATGCAAGTAGCGGTTTTCTTGTTCCGCCGTCGCGATTAGTGATCTCTATTAATGATTCTTTTAGAAAGACCCAAATCATTAAATGTTCGATGACATTGCAGCCTTATAACAGTTACCCAGTTTCTTTGAGGTGAAATGGTCTACAGCTAAGTCGCTGGTATCTGCAAAATTTCTCTCTGCAAAAACCAAGGAAGGAGCAGAGTGCCTGAGCAAAGAGTTTTATTTACTTGAGTATATAAATATTCGGATATTATTCAAGAGCAATTAAGACAAAATTATTCCAAAGTTATTGAAACAACCAAAAACTCAGGTGCGAGTTTATTTTTTAAGTAGTTACCTCAGGATATGCATAGCGAATTTAAAGATTTAATAATTTATTACAGAAAAATCTATTATTACTCAGAAATTCATTGGTACGCCGAGAGTATTATAGTCGCTGAAAAAAAAGGATTGTAAGGAATAAGTTCAATGATAAGCTATGATACCGGTTTATGTTTTTTCCTTGAATGTGTTTCAGTATCCTCAAGAGCGTTAAATTGCCTTTCGCGTTCGCGGTGTATTTCATAGTTAATTTAATGCTGCTATTTTTCATTAATGTACAGCAGTTTTCTATCGCATCTGGCCAAGAAAATTTCCTACGTGGTTTATACAATTGTTTAATAGATAAGTTATGTTTTTTGATGTTGTTGAATCCGAGCTGGGTGCGAAGATATTTTAAGGTACGCTTAACCTTGTGTTTCGGTTTTCGCCCCATGTAGTGGAATCCGGGAAATTTTTGCTTGTGGAATCTGGAATCCCACTAACGACTGGATGCGGAACCCAAGTTCCACTGACAAAGAATCGAGAATGCACAGCGTGGAATCCAGAATCCAAGACTGTCTTGGATTTCCTTACGGGCGACAGTTTGTTCAGAAACGCTGATGTGCAGATCATATGTCACGCAGCAAATTCTCCTCATATGAGTCAGGATCATGAGTCGTCCTTGGCGTCAATGCTCAAACGTCATGGAATTTTCTTAAAAATAAGGAAGAAATCATGAAGAGTCGTGATAAACATCACCTTCTTTCGAGTTCCCCTTTTATGTGGCCAAGCAAGGTTATTTCGACCACATTTTTTATTTTGGTTTAAACGAAAAACAGTCTTTTCTTTTTTAAAGATCTCGTAGTTGCGACCGTAAATTCATGGCCTAACGGTGAATATAATAACGTCAAATCAACTTAAAAAAATGTAAATGGGTTGGTTCAGTTGGTGCGAATGCTATTTTCGTGTTGAGTATGAATTCTGTTTTTAATATTTGTAAAAGTCCTGGAATTAGGGCCCCAAACGTTGGACGAACAAACCAACCAACTTTCCAAGCCCATTGAGGCGTGGGAACTACAAGTGTTTTTCTTTCGTTAGTTGTACAAACCACGTAACGGAATTTTTATGGCCGTTATTTTTTATCGAGGGTACTTTCCTAATTGCATTGTTTTATTAGACCTCTATTTTTGTATTTCTTTGAGGGTGGTAATTGAAACGGACTCTTGTGAATCTCACGTGTTCCTATTCAGATGAGTAAATATTATGATAAATTTTGAGGTGGAAAATATACGAAAAATGATTGAAGCGATTTGAAATTGTTGCTTGGAACTGTAACAAGGAACAGTTTGAAATAAATAAGCTCAAATTAGTCTGCGGTGTGGGTGTATTTTTGGAACGAGGGTGTAGTACTTGCTGTGTATAGTTGAAATCCATTTTGATTTTTGCAAATGGAGCGCGCGGGATTGGGAATAGTAGAAATTGCAACCAAGAGGGTGGGCGAAAAGCTGGAAGAACGAGTTGAGGGAGTGGTAGAGGGGAAGGGTGTTTGCCATTTACACAAACCGCAAGTGGAAGTCTTGTGCATAAACACAAAACTATACTACTAATAGTTAACACTACAGCTGCCCCTGCTCTAGCCTGAGAGCAAGGTCTCTGGGGCGCTCTGGCGGCGGGGCCGGAAAAGGAAGGAGAGCTTGCAACTACGTCTCTGGAATTTGAATATCTGCATTGAAAAAGTCGATGCGAAATGCTGATTGGCGGAGATAGCATTAGTAATGACGTCATTACCCTTGCATGGCACTAGTTTTTTAATGTTTGTTTAATTCGCGCTGGTTGGCGGACTGATAGCTCAGGAATTCAAATTCCAGCGACGTAGTTGCAAGTTCTCCTTTTTCTCGCCCCTCTGCCAGAGAGCCCAGGAGAGCTTCCTTGCAGGCTACCCCCGCTCTGTACGTTATCGGTCAATAGTATACTTGGTCGTTGTGTAGCTCCTTGAAATATACCGATTCACAATGAAGACTTTCACACATATTTCATACGTTAGGTTAGATAAAAACAGGAAACTTAAGGTTCCATGCACTAACTCAATTCGATTTACACAGATTTGATCAAAACATTCTCAGTTTCGAGATTATTTTATTCTCAACCGTAAGAAAATATTTGATTAGAAGCTGGAATTGTTCGCTATTTCTCTTTCATTCTACATACAGTACATTTTATTAGCCGGAAAGTAGGCCTTAGAAATTAAACGGTTTGATGAATTCACGCTCGCACGTTCTAGTCATTTTTTTAACTATTAAGACAATACTTACAACACTGAAACTTTATAGAAGGACATCTGTGAGCAGGGAATACGTCAGCACAGAATTTAACAGCTAAGAATTTAATTGTCGACGTATTTCTGTAATCGTCCATCGTTCTGCTGGTGATAAACTAGCCGTTGATTCACTTGTCTTGCTTGTTTGTGGACTGAGTCTTTTTCCCCCAAAGAGGGAGAAAGAGTGTCTGGCAAACTCTCCAAGTCTTAATACATACACAGTTATGCGCACCTTATAACTTCGTCCGCACTTAACGATTGTCTTTTGGTTTATAACTTTCAAAACAGCTGCTCCACAGAATGTCACTAACAACAAGTGCGCAAAAGAGTATCGAAGTATGACAAGTATGACTCTACAATGAGTGTCACAAAGTCAACCTAAGCGATCCCTTCGGGCATTTTCTGTTTTACGTCATCCTAACCATCTTTTACTTGCGCGCATGAACAATAGAAACGTCATCATTACCTTTCGATTCCACGCGGCCCCTGTTCAAGCAAGTGGAGACTTTTTTCTGGTACATGACTGACTACATATTTCAGCTGTAAGTACTTTTCCATACATATGTCGAGTTAATTTTTTATCTGAGGTACTGGTTTTTATTTTTCCTTTGTTTCTGGGTATGGCAATGTATGCTACTGAAGTTGAAACAAAGGAAAAATAAAAATTACCTGACATAAAAAATTAACAACAACATTTACGCGCGAGCTACTACTAGGATACTTCCTCGGGATCCTTTCCGGGGCAAAAATTTGACGTTGTGGGAGAACGACCCCCTACGAAGTATATCAAAATCAGCTGAACAGACTAACAAGAGTAGAAAAATTGCATCCCTGCAAATCACAGCCCATATTTTCTGAAGGTTCCCAAACGGAAAGGAGCTAACCATTTAATTTTCCAACCGGAATTTCTGGTTTTCCCATGTAAATGCAAGTACCCATCGTCTTCGATCACCTGGCCTTCCGCTGTTACTTTAGAGAGCTTGCTCGCACTCTGCGTAACTTGACTCTTCGTTCAAGAAACAGGCCGTTTTGGACATGTTGGACAAAAGAAGACTGATTAGTTCGGTATAGCGCCAATAATATTGATGACTGCCGGTCAGTCAGTGATAGATTCTTTCTTTCGCGAGTATGTAAAAAAAATTGAGTGGATATGAGCTCGTGCACAGGCTGCAGAAGAGTGTGGTGAAGAAATGGATACAGAACCCTCAGGGGGGATGTTTTTGACTGGAGGCCAGGTTAACCACCGGCCAGCCCGGGACATGAAACTGTAGGTTATTTGTGAGAGAGCATATGAAATTTTACCTTGAAAATATAGGCATGATGATGTTTCCTCCCTGCCACGTTTCAAAATTAAAAAAAAATAAAAAAATTTTCATGGAGGTCGAGCGTTATGAAGGTTAAATTAATCGACTTTTTGCATATTTGAATTAATTTCTTTATTATTTTTATTTCTCATTAATTAACCAAGAACGTGGTGTTTTTTAATTTCATTTTTCGTTTGCCTTGTTTACCTTATAGAGTGTTTTTACTTGACGTCATGGAGGCCATATGGGTGTCCCAAAACAATGAAACGGCGGCCATGTTGGTGTCCCAAACCAATCCTGTGGGAGTTGAACTCTTTCAGTTTTTTTGCAAACGCTTTTTTGTTTCAATAAATTTGCATAGATGCTGGCCACGTGAGTGAAAACACTCTATTATAGGAAATCAACGATGCACTTAAAAAAATCGCGTTAATTTAATGCAACTGATCTAAATTTACCTCTATGTTATTTACATTACACTGTATTTCACATCATTGTTGTTTTACAGCATGCACCTTTATTTCAATAACAAAACCTCGTCTGCTCACTGCGTTTCCCTATCAACGCCTTGGAGTCACTATCTGACAATTCGTCTTTAAGAATTGAGTTCAAAATGTCTTTCGACTGTTCTTCGTATTCATCCGTTTCCCCGAGGGGATAACTCACTTCCTCAGTCTTTCTTCTTGAAACTTCCATTGACGTTTCTGTTTGTTCTTTAGATATGTACAGTATGTTGTCGCGTAAAATAAAGTTAGGCGCGCGTTGCTTTCGAAAATTTCGCGTTCATTTGATGTATGTAAACCTAACTTTTGGAAAATTCGCCTTAATTTAGTGTAACGTAAACTTCTCTTTGTGTTGTCAACGTGAGCTAACGTGCATCGTTAACTTCCTCTAAGGTATTTTTTTTTAAAATTCTGTCTTAGCCCATCCTAATCCAAATAGATGTCTGAGCATGTTACAAAAAATTGGCAAGTGGAATTTAATGACGAAACGAAGCTTTCCTTGCACTTCGCTATGAAGTATTTTACATATCATACATAAATCCAATTTACACTCGTACAATATACAAATATCTTTTTTAGACAAATCGAATGCACTAGAAGGAGTAGAAACAGCGCGTCCATTTTAGATCCTCACCAGCTAGTCACAGTACGGTCGTCCTACGAAGTTCCAGTTCACAAATATCTTAGAACATTTATATTCGCCAACGTTCTTTAACAGACTGTTAGAAACTGCTATTTAGGCAAAACGCTTAATGAAGGGGAAATAAGTCTGTTTGCGTTTTCCTCATCTCCACCATAATAAGAAATGATATATCACGAAATTCGTGTTAATTTTGTGTACCGTAAACTTTTCTTTGCGTTGTCAACGTGCATCATTAACTTCCTACAAGGTATTTTTTTTTTAAATTCTGTCTTAGTCCATCCTTATCCAAATACATGTCTGAGCATGTTACAAAAAATTGGCAAGTGGAATTTAACAACGAAACGAAGCTTTCCTTGCACTTCGCTGTTAAGTATTTTACATATTATACATAAATCCAATTTACACTCGTACAATATACAAATATCTTTTTTAGACAAATCGAATGCACTAGAAGGAGTAGAAACAGCGCGTCCATTCTATCTCATTACCAGCTAGTCACAGTACGGTCGTCCTACAAAGTTCTAGTTCACAAATATCTTAGGACATTTCGCCAACGTTCTTTAACAGACTTTTGGAGACTGCTAATTAAGGCAAAACGCTTTTATGAAAGGGAAATAAGTCTGTTCGCGTTTTCCTCATGCCTACCATACACTTTAAAAATGAGAAATGCCATATCACGAATTGAAGAAGCTAGTTGGCAAAACGATCCAGGACGTTTACGAAACACTCGTAACTAGGCCAAAGACCTGTAATTATATGCGGTGAATTTATTTGTACATATTTTCTTTGTCTTTGAGTCTCATTTTCTCTTGACAAGAGTTCGCAAAAGTCCTGTCCTTAGCTTAATTAAGTCAATCTAAGTCATCTAGCTCAGACTCTGAACTCGATCTGAATTTCTCCTCTGCAGTCATTTGAGGCTCACCTTGGTAATTATCGTGATCTGAATCGCAGTAATTCTCGTCCTGTTTGGTATCTTTTGCCTGTCGAGGACGTTGTTTGTGTCCTTCATCACTAGTTTCACTTTCAGAATCTAGTCTTGGCTCTTCCGCTTTATCTCTGAAGGCCGTTTTTGCATTTTGTCTCCTTCTGTTATTTTGCTTGCGTCTTCGCCCTTTCTGCCACTCAGATGAAGTCATTTGGCCTTTGCTTTTGGTCTTCTGTTTTGGCTTTGGAGCCTTGCTTTGCTTGGCTCTCTCTTCGTGATGTGCTTCTCTTTCTGTCTTTAAGTCATTCTGTCCACATTTACCTCTGCAAGTTTCCTCATTAAACGTGTTATTGCAGTTTATATTGGCATCTTCGTTTCTTGGTTTTGAATTTCTTGACCTGTCGCTGGGTCTTTTGTTCTCTCCGCTGGTTGTACCTTGAGCGGAACTTCGAGGATTACGTTTCTCTTTCTTTGGCGGCTTAGCGGAAGGACGCTCGGCCCGATCATATGATGACCTTTGGAAACGCGAATTCTCTTGATAACGCCTTCTACTTGATCGTGCAAATGAATCATGACGCCTTGGACGCCGAGAGAACGGAATGTTAAAAAATCCAAACGGGATATCGTCTTCATCATCGCTGTCATTAAAGAAAAGGCCTCCAAACATCCTCGCCATAATTTCCTCTTCCATTCGCCTTCTCATCATCTCATGAAACATTACAAAATGAAAGAAACTTTCAAACTCATAAAAAGCTGGCTCGTCATCTCGTTCAGTCGCGCTGGAACCGGCGACAATTCTCTCATAGCCTTGCGTGAGGACTTGAAACTTTTCCTTCGCTTTTGGATCGTCGGGATTTTTATCGGGGTGGCATTCTCGCGCCTTCTGTCTGTAAGCTCGTCTTACGTCTTCTTCACTTGCATCAGGAGCGAGACCGAGCAGCTCATAACACTCTCCCAAACTCGTCGCCATCGGTTCTTTTTCCTTACTGACTGTGAAAATGGCTGACACCGGAAGACACGGGCGAGCGACGAGGCATTTTTAAATCACTTTTAACCAATCAGATTACACGAAAACACAAGATGTTGTTGTGGTCTAGAAATTCTCGGAAATGTTTTGAACTTCTTAGAATAATGACACATTTAGAAATGACGAAACACTTTCAAGATCCGTCAAGGGTGGCCTCATTGAAATGCCATTGTTTTCAATGCAAACAATAAATCGATAAATTCAATTTTTGTTGTATTTAAGTTCCAGACAACGTTGTGGTGTATAATTCTCTTGATCCACTTGAACCATGATGATTATGATAGAAAAAGGGGAAAATGAGGAACATTTGCCAAAAATATCTTTCTTTGTTCAAATTAAATTATTCTTACCACTTATACAATGAACACATGATTATTAATGTTACATCAATAATACAGCACAGGTTGCCAAGGATTAATTTCTTGAGTTGGTGAAATCGTGTAAATGACTGCCTATTTATTACCAACATCAGCCGCCGTTATCTTTTCCAACGGAACCATAAGAGCTCTCAAGCTTCTAGGTCAGCGGATAACATTATCCACAGACGGGTATAGAGGCTTACCCAAAGACGGGGAGAAATAATTTTTTGTTGTTGTTCTGGTTGTTTATAAAGAACATTACCCTAACGAATCTTAATCAGAAGACGAGTTTCAACCTTTCATTGTCGTAGTATTTTAGTTAGAATTTATTTCCTTCAAGACTTAATTTTCTCCAAATTCGTTGACACCACAGTTTCGCCCCGCGACCAACTCCCTACTAAGAACTAGAAGCCTGTGATCTCTGGGTGCGAAGACAGTAGGTCAAGAATCAAAGAAGCCCGAGATCAGGCTGCACGTTCTCTCTTACCAAATACGACTTAAGTGAACGGTTTTACATTTGGAGGGAGTCTGCATGGCAGTCGACGCATCACAGTGGCCTGGCCTGGTTTTCTTTTCGTATCTTTTCTTTAACAACGAGCCCATCATCGCGCTACAACTCAAAATAATCTCGCAGGGAAATAAAGGAGCTATGTCACGAGGATATTGCTGTTTTAGGTCAATTCTGGGTAGATGTCGTTACTTAGTGCCCGTTACCCATACATAAAATGCTCCTGTAAAATGAAAAAAGATAGCAAACAAATAAGCCATTTCCGGGTTACCGCAAGCCTCTGTTTCAAAGTGAGGCTAAGAACCAAGCTATTGATATGGAAATGATTTTTTAGTATCATGCAGATAAAACTCATTTTCACAAGAAAGGTTTTGCTCTTAGTCAAGTTTTAAAGGTAAGAGTATTTGGAACTCGATTGGATTGGCCTATTTTATCAGGAATAATATTAAGGGTTTGCAGGTTTATTGTTCAACTTGAAAAGGTTGGCCCAACTGTTTCAAGTTTGAAGCCATCCCTGATATCCATTGCAAAAGATCAGACAACGGAAAACAGTTTCAATGTCAAATGTCATCATTTTAAGAATATTAGACTGACTGGACCATTATTCCAATTTGCAGCTCAAATTGATGTGAAGACAAGTTTAAGCTTTTTACAAAGATAGTAAATAACATGACAGTGCCCCTCTAAGGTACTAAAATATGTTATCGATGTCATAACTTTTTTTCTTAAGGTTCTTTCTACTATGGCATGGCAATAAGTTAGAAATTCCCTAGCCTGCGAGAACAGCCGTCTCTCAAGTTCTCGCTTCTTACCACTAGGGACGTTTCAAGCGGCAAGGAGCGAGGAGAGAGACGGCTGTTTTCGCAGAAAAATTCCCTAATGGCCGTTATTACAGAAAAATGTAGTATTGTATGAGTCTTTAACATTAAGGCGTGGTGCTTCCGGACAGATTAGCCCTTAAATCTCTCCATACATCCAACTTCTTATCCTTTGATTGTGCCACATCCGCTAGCTGAAAAAGATGTTCGCCAATCAGTTTCTCCTTTCCGAGTTTATCATGTCCATAAAGTCTGATTCTGATGGCCATTCTAAACAAGTCCTGCTGTAAGATCCGATCAAAGACAAACTTCTCGTCGAATTTAGGATTTGCTGTGGAACGCGTCTTGCTTTTAAAGCGCTGTTTGCGCGAAGGAAGTAGTAGAAGATGAAAGCGACAATGTGAGCTGCCTCCTCGACTTTTGCCGGGAACATCGCGTGCATCTAAAATAGTGACCGTCAAGCGACCAACATTGGNAAAGACAAACTTCTCGTCGAATTTAGGATTTGCTGTGGAACGCGTCTTGCTTTTAAAGCGCTGTTTGCGCGAAGGAAGTAGTAGAAGATGAAAGCGACAATGTGAGCTGCCTCCTCGACTTTTGCCGGGAACATCGCGTGCATCTAAAATAGTGACCGTCAAGCGACCAACATTGGATGAATAGTCTAACTGTAAATGAACAGTGCCGTAAACTGGGACCCGATCGACTTCCTTCAGTCCCGTATCTACTTGAACATCACCGTATGCTGACACGCTCTTTTGAACTTCCTCATCGGTTTCGAACATTTTCAGTGTTTCCGGGGGAAGTTCCTGATCCCCATGTGGGCCACCATCTTTTTCTTCCTCCTCCGAAGCAGCTACGTCCTCCTCTTCCTCTGAATTACCACTATCTGCAGCTGGTTCCTCCCCTAGTTCCTCGTAGCCCGCGCCCTTGTTTTGGACGGGCTCCATCTTGGAACATGGGCATAGCTCCTTGTTCAGGCAGTAATATGTAGCAAGGAGACCAATTAAAATTATTATGATGAAAACCAAGAATACTGTCGCGGGGACGTACCCTAAAAGAGACAACAGATAAAATATAAAAGATATTTTATTAATCAGCGACAAACCCTGAGAGGGAACTGCCTACTCAGTAGGAGACAATACAATACGCACGAGAAGTTACTTTGATTCACGCCGACCACCCGTTCGGTTTTGTTTGTTCACTGAATTCTCTAGTTGATAGCTCCATTTTTAAACTGAGGAAATTTCTCGCCAAGCTTTACCTTTTTTCTAATAATACGGAAGCAAATGTTGAACGAACGTTTTATCGGGGTAAATCAGATAATTTTTATAAGTGAAATTAGGAATCCGAAAAGGTAACGAGACAAAACTTCCTAGAAAATCTCCCACAGAATAATATACTTAACAAGTGAGACATAATTGTAAGTCGTTCTTTAAGTATATTGATAGTCACTAGATGACGGAAGGACGATGAAAAACAAACCTCTATCAGTCATAAGAAATCAAGGGCAAAGTATTTTTAATAATAAAATAAGAAAAACTTAATGCATTGCATCTGAGTTTTAGTTAACAACCCAAAGCATGTACATAAACTCTCCTAACGAGAGCATTTCCAACAGATTAGAGCCAGTCATTTAGATGGTTGACAGAATTTTTAACACTTCACAGTTTAACGCTGGACGTCATTGCAGAACAGCCATCGGGACACTTACATGAAGATAATCCAATCACAACGTTTTTTGAAAAAGCAAAGGATTCTCAAGCTTTTTTGCAAACGGACCAATAACGTACGTGCATAAATTTGAGGGCTGTTTCCTGAGAGGTCAGTTAGGTTACATAGTTAAACCTTAAATTGTTTTGGTCTGTTTGCCAAAAAAACTTGCGAATCTTTTGTTTTCAAGAAACGTTGTGATTGGATAATCTTCTTCCAAGTGTCCCGGTTCGTGTAGTCGCACTGTAAACTTTCGGTTTCGAAAATAGTGACGGAAAGGGGTATCTCTCATTTTCGCTAAAAATTCAAGTAGTTCAGAATTTTTGGAAAAGGATAAAAAAATTAGTGATAAATTCGAAAGAGTCAACTTGCTCTAGTATGACAAAAAAAAAAGAAGATAGGACTATTGTAAAGTCGTTTTTTTAAAAAAATGAATTTTGGAGCTCTGTACGCACATAGGGGCATTCTAGATGGCCTTTAACAAGTTTTTGGAGCATTTAGAAGAACTGAAGTCATCATTGCATATATGCCCAGAGTTGAAAAAGGAGTGAATTTTTATTGAGAATTAAGAATTAATTATTTTTCAGTAATTTGCTGATTGAAATAAATAAATAACAGACACAGTGTACGTAGCAACAGTTTACTTTCCAGAATTATTACAAAATACGGACAAGGAAAGAAATGAGCAATAAAACTATATTCAAGTGCTCTAATGGCTTCTATATTACATGGCTAGAAAGCTTTAAAATTATTAACTGGAAATTAAAGTTCTTGCTCTTTTGATATTGACATATCTCAGTGTCGGACTGCCAAAATTCGACCCTTTTTTGTTTCAAGTGCTCTAATGGCTTCTATATTACATGGCTAGAAAGCTTTAAAATTATTAACTGGAAATTAAAGTTCTTGCTCTTTTGATATTGACATATCTCAGTGTCGGACTGCCAAAATTCGACCCTTTTTTGTGACATCACCTATTTTTTTTTTTAATAGCATCCTATCGCTGCCCTTTAACAGCATCTTTATTTTGTAGCCGGTGTTACATGCATGGGATCTATAATCGGCAGTTTACAGAAAACATCGTTATAAGATCAGACAACAATGCTAGGTAGAGTGTTTCGCAACAAGAGGCAGTACTGTTGTCTTTTTTGATTAACGCCACGGTCAGTTTTCTTAATATAATCTTTTTTTCAATTATTCAAAATTTTAAAAACATCTTATGACAAATGAAATTCCAACGGAATAATAAAATTTTACATTACGTGAGGCGATAGAATCGAATAGAAAGAACATCAACGAATTTCGGCTTTCTTTGCGGCAATTGATTCGTTTGAACCCGGTTAGCTATAAAACGGTTTGGGATGATAGTTGCAACATTAAGTTCCCATTTTGGTCTCATGTGAGATTTTCTTTTTATACACTAAAGATAATGAATAAATTTACGAGGAAAATTCGCTTACCGGACGGTATGAACCAAAACGCCATTACCTCCGTCCTGTTGTTTGTCGACCGGGATTCATTATTCCTTT